TTCCAGGTTCTGACAATACCTACAGCTCTACTTTGTTTTCTTTCTCTTACCTATAATGGTTCATTTTTTATATTCCACTGGGAAAATAAGCTCTTTTCCTTCCTCAGTGGCTTGCTAACAATCTAGCAATTGATTATACATTGGACATAGAAATAAGATATTTATTTAAAAATGTGATGTGTATCACTACTGACACATTCATGTCAGAGGGAATTCCTTGGTGACTGAATTACTTTGAGGATTGCTTTTTTCAAAATGTTCCTTATAAGTGTGTTTCACTGAGACTGGGTTTCTGGTATTGTTGAGCACATCAGCGTTAGGAGGCAGAAATCGGCTTTCTTTGTGGATTAGCTCAAGTCCATCCCTGCTTCTAGGAGGGCAAAGCCACTCCTTGTACCCTGACAGTGGGAGGGCCAGGAACATCACTGTACTCTTGACATAGCTCCTTCCCACTCTTGCCGCTTGCTGGAAAACATTCAGTTCTTCTGTTTTCAGTGATGCAAATTACATTTTAACAGTGCTATGACCAAACAAAGTGATGTGTAAGCATCACAGGAATACACAACCCACAAATTTGTGTAAGAACAGTCAAACATTCTTTCAAATAGGTTTCAAACAGATTCCAAAATAACTAGTGGAAGTAACATTTAATTTTAGATTCTTCGAGACCAGAACTCTTGTTCTCTCATTTGTACCTTTCTGTCAATGTGCACATTTCTGTCTGGAAGACGTTTTGCCTAGAGGTAACTGCCGTTTATTGTCACAGTACTTAGACTGGGACACATTGTTCTAACTGCACAATGTCTGGGTCTAGGCTGTTCCCTCACTGCAGGCTTTATTGGCACTTAAAGCACGAGGCTTTGAATTTCTGCTCACAGAAAACAGAACCAGTGCATTACATTCCTGCAGATTAGGAGCCCAGCTAATGCAGGAAAGGGTCATCACGTCTTTGTGGGCTGTGGAAAATGTAAAGTACTTGTACTTTAGGAAACTGTGAACCTAGGCATGGTCTGTAATTAGCCCTCCCTGAGGAAGATGGGGAGGCAAGGTCCCTGTGGAAGGACAGATGGGGCAGACAGACAAAGTAGGGATTTATTAGCACTCTTCCTGTTCCTTTGAAAAAAATTTAAACTTTGCACAAAAAACACCGTTTATTATAGAGAAGTCATCCTTCTGTGCCCATCACCTGCTTTTCTTCTTTCTTCAGTAGATCTCTGAAAAGCTCAAACCTGAATAATTTAATATAGATCACAACATTTTCTTTACATTAATGAGAAATTCAGTTCTTCCTTGCAAGGCCAAAGATCCTGCACATTCTCACATCTTATTGCCATGGCAGGAACACCCTGTGGCAGGGTGGATACGTACTGAGATCCAAGATAAAATCTCTCAAGAAAGGTGAAGCCAGCAAGCAGAGAGTGCAAAGGCAAGAGAGTAGGACTGAGGACAACCTCCTGGTGGAGTCTATTTATAGACATCCACATGAAGAAGAGGTTGAGGAAACCTTTTTTGGTCAACACACCAAAGTGTCTGGCTAAGATGAATGTTTCACTATGGTCATGTTCTGGGAAAATAGTCCACTGACCACAGACTACCAAATAACATTTTGGACTATACTGGAGAGCATTTCCTTTTTCAGAATATTGGCCAAATCAAGCTGGAGAGGACTATAATCTGATCCTTAGCAGGGAAGAAGTTGGGGATTTAAAAATAAATTTCTTGGAGGTAGATGGCTTATAGGAATTAGTGGAGACATGACCAGACGCAAGATCTAAAGGGGAGAAAAAGCTAACTCAGAAAAAGAATTTCAGGAAAGCAAGCATATGTCCCATTTAATGTGGTAGATTGACCAGATGGGTTCATCTTCTCTTTTACCCAACACTCTGGAAAAATTTAAAGGTATTATTCACAATAGCAAGGAGAATGGGAGAAGATAGCAGCTGGTGAGATATTTCAACAAGTGCATGGAAAGCAAAAAGAGAACAGAACACATCTACAGATGGGATGCTGGTGGGAAGAGAACCCAGGAGGAAGGGCCCTTTCCTGTACCGTAAGAAGTTTGGGGGGCTCCTTTCCTTTTGGGTCTTGCAGGAACTAAAGGTTTAATCAGAAGCGAAAATAACTGTAGGTGTTCCGGGCATGGGACCAGGCAGCACTACAGGCTAACACGAGGCGTGGGCTCCATGTGGGTGATACTGAAAAGGCTCCTTGTCGTTCTTGTTTAAGGACAGTCAGAAACCAGGACAGGTGACCTTCCCCTAGTGCGGGCCACATGTGACATGCACAGTCCAGGCCCCCACCTATATACACAGCCAGTCTGATTTTCTGTACCTCAGTTATCAGCAAGAAACAAGGGTCAAGCATAAGCAGAAATTGGATGGAAAAATAAAACAGAAATAAAGATAAAAATTAATTTAGAGAAAACAAGGAACCAGAAATACACTTTTAAAAACATCTATATTAATATCCTTAAAAAGATGAACAAATGTTGGATTCATACAACAAGAAAAGGGTAAATATACACACAGAGAATAAAAGCTCTTGGAATTTGTAGAGATGGTAACTAAAACAAAACAAAATGTCAATAAAATGTTGGAAGGACAAAGTCAAGGAAAATTTCTTAGAACTAAAAAAATACAAGTGTTCAAATATGAAAGACCCTCCAGATACCAAGAGCAGGGCAACAAAACCCAGTTAGGTGTTTTGTCATGGAGTTTCAAGGCACCATCACTAAGCAGGTGTCTATAAGGGCTCCAACACAGGCACAAATGCTGACAGCACTGAGAGGGTACTGGGTTTCTCAGTACTTGAAACATCAGAAGACAACATAGAGCTGCCTCCAGAGTCCTGAGCGAAGTAGAGTCTGTGACTCGTTATCATTGAAGCTGGCAGTGGGTATTCACGGGGGCCACTGTACTCTGTCTTGTAATATGTCTAGAATTTAAAAAATGGAAATTGTAGAACCTGCCATGAAAATAGACCAACTAAGACTAGAAGAGAATGCTAATGGACCAAGGGCTGCCGATGTGAACATCTGATTTAAAATGGGTTGACCACAAGGCCCCGACTGCTCCCCAGCTCCAGCAGCACTCTCAACACCTTCCTCCCACCACCTATGCAAGCATGGCTTAGGGGGAAGGTGGGGAAGCCATGCGGCTGCGTATCATTGGACTAGAAAGTGAGGGCAGCCCATGCATCCCAACCAGGCATTGCTCTCACAACTAAGATGATGAGATTCCTGGAAAATGGGGAAACCGAGGAACTAGAGTTATTTTCAGGAAAGGAGCAGAGGGCTTTCATGCCCGAGGTGGAAGCTGATTCAACCACTTGGAAGGACCAGAATTGAGAGGGGAGTAGGCAGAGGGTGTCTGAGCCACTGGCCTGCCTTGGTCTTCTGTGAGAGGATGGTTTATTCCCTACTCCATGGGAACTGGCCAGGCACCTGGTCCACGAAATTCTCTGCTGGCGAGAAGAGCCCAACAGGCAGAGGCTGTGTGGTGTGCAGGTTCCCACCAGCACACTGCCCCCTTCTAGGGGTCAGGGACCGAGTGGAGCAGGACAGGCTAAGGTTGGCTTACCGTTTTAAGGAAACAAACAGGGATACCATTACCCCATGCACACACTGAAGAATTCATACCGTGCCCATGAGGGTTCCACATTCAAATCCGGCATTGACCCGCCAGGTGGGATAGAGAAATGACACCCAAATGAATATTGAAACTGCTTCTTCAAAGTGTCATGATCAAGTCAGATCTCCTACACAAGGTCTGTGTGACACACAGATGTGTAAAGTGGCAAGTGGAGAGAGGCTTCGCCACACAGGAGAAATGAGAAATACTTTTATTCAAGTATGTTAAATAAAGGAAATAGTGGAGAACTGTTCACTCAAGAAGAAAGCAAGACAATAGAACTAATTTCTTAATATCTGACTGTGTCGTGGGAGAATGGATCCGTGGTCACCACACCTGCATAACTTCCATCTAGAAGCTTAATGGAAAGGCAAATTGCAGAAGACGATGAATGAAACCTTCACAGTGCAGAGGCTATGCCTGCTCCCAGGGAACCCAGCCTGCAGTACCCTAGGATGGGCAGGTACCGAAAGCATAGGGGCCATCACATGACTGTCCCAGCATCTAAAGGAAGTCATCGAGGGGTTTCAGAGCAAACCCTGGCCATCTTTTAAAAGAGATAAACTGCATGCGGCACAGTGCCTGCCTGGCAAGCACAAGGTCCTGAGTTCAGTTACCGGACCGAAACAAAAAAGACAAAACATAAATAAATAAAAGAGATGAACTACAGCCTAAGTACAGATCCCTAACCTTATGGGGGACAGTACAGAACAGATCATTGAATGGTCAACTGGCCACCAGTGAATGAGTGGAGGACCCAGGAAGGAACCAGCGGAGGTTCTTGGAAGGGCAGGTGGAGCTGCACAGCACAAGGTCCCTTGAGTCTTAAAAGGGCAGAGTGCACAGGGACCCCAGAAAAATGGGGCAGAGAGTTAAGTCCTGTGATCACCAAGGAACTTGCCAACATAGAATGATCATAGCTCATGGAGACACAGTTTTAAGCACCTATGAACAGTGTGTTTAGATAAAATACCAATTTCAGCAAATCTTTCCAGAGATGAAGATACAATGAAACACATGTGTAATTCAATATGCAATTTAAAGGCCCAAATCCTAGCCAGACTGCTCCTGAATAGCTGGAGCAAAGAGGAGGCTAGGGCCACGCAGGACTCACCAGTTTCCCAAAGTGAAATTGTTCTCTGCCCATGTCCAGCAAGGACTATAAATCCAAATCTAGTTGCAGCAATCAAGAGGAAGGAAGGTAAACTGCAAAGTGAATGCTGGAGCAGAATTACCACATGACTTTTTGTGAGCCTGTTTAATAGCAATCATAGCAAAATGGCTAAGATTACACGAACTTTTTATCTGTCTAAAGATGTTCTAAACACTTTAATCTTGTAACTCATATAATCTATATAACAGTCTTCCAAGGGTGAAGTTCTTATTATCTCCACTCTACAAATGGGAAAACTGAGGCCCTGTGGAGCAAAACGACTTGTCCAAGACCACAGAGCAAGTAAGCAAAAGACAGAAGAACACACAGAATTTTCTATCCTTTATTATTCTTCAAATTTGTTCACATGGTGTAATGAGTGGCTAACATATTTGACTAAAAATAATTGAGCATAACATTTTGTGCTAGATCAAATAGTACATTTGCTTTTAATCTTTCCTGGCATAAAAAGCAATAGGTGACAGAGAAGTTTTATAGGAGAAAGATACAAAAAATTATGGACAATCAACCTATTAACTTCCTTTTTTCCCAAGCGTGAGAACATCCAGCCAGCTCCAGTTTCAGCAGAGGACAGGCTGCCCCAGAGTGAGGGCTTTGTGCCATTAGAACAATGCCTGAACACAGGGCCTGGAGGAGCTGAACTTGGGGACAGAGTCGAATCCTTCTATAACTCATAATCTCTCATGGGAAAGGAATGATGGGTCCAGTGTAGATCACTGGTCTAGAGAAAACACAGAGGTGGATTTGAGAGTGAAGTCCCAGAGGGGCTTCAAGAACGGCCAAGTTCAGTGACTTCCCCTTCTTGCTCCACACAGGAAGTCCGCAGCTCTGTGCTCAGAGGTATGGGCTGAAATTATGAAGCCCGCTGGGTAGACAGAAAGTGTCCACTTAAGGCTTTGAGAGCACTACCAGCACGTTTGCTGTTCTTTTCATGTCCCTGGGAAGGGAGTGCTTGTAGATATGGTTGGGCTGGGAAGGGAACCGATGGGTGACCACTGTATCTGCAGCATGTGAGGTCCGGAAGACTATGTCTGAAGAGAGTGCATTTTTGTATTTGTGACATTTTACATGAAAACTTGATGTAAGACAAGTGTTTTCGCCTTGGTCAAAATTGTGCATCACCCCATGGACAATGGGCTCTGGACACACAGATCAGTTAAGAGTCAGACAAAGGCAGGTGGCCTGTCATTGTCTGCTGTCACAGTCAACACCCACATCAGCGCTGCTGCCATGGCCTCTGTTCCCAGGTGCAGAGGGCTGGGTGGGACCTGGCACAGGAGGAGTCACATGTTAAAATTTATTAAGTTATAAACAGTGCTCTTTTGAAAATAACACTTGTGCTTTTACTACCTGGAATTATATTAAACTGAGAAATTGAAGGATATAAGGACGAGTGTTGCTGATACCAACCACCAGTTCCTGACAGTCTTAGGTTCTGGCTTTGTATATCATTGCGTGTGCTTGCTAACCCTGTGAGATGAGAAACACTGGTCTCATTTCACAAGGCAGACAGCTGGGATGCAGTACGCTTTCCTCAGTTAGCAAATTCCCAACACATAAGCACAGAGCAGGACTCCAAGCAGTGTCCATCTACTTTCAAAACTAATGGCCATCCTGGTACACCCTTTTGCAGAAGATACCAAATCCTGAAAAGTGGCAACAAACAGAATCAATTTTTGCTGAAACTTGACACTCTCTGCATAGCTCACAATGCATGTGGAAAGGATATTTAAGACAACTAAGGGAGCATAAGAGATTAAGGGGGTTATAATTTCTCCACTCACTCAAACTAATAAACTGTTCACACTAGTGGAGAGAGATAAATCAAAATGGAAATTCATGTAATAATCAAGTTACCCACAGAAACCTACAGAAGACAAAAAAGAGGGAAATGGAATATAGGAAATGAACAGAAAACAAAACATAAAATAGCAGACTTAAACCCTAACATATCCATGGTTACATTAAATTTAAATGCTCTAAGTACACCCACTAAAAGACAGAGATTGTCAGAATGGGCTTTTAAAAAATGGCCCAGCCTCATGCAGGGACATTATGTAAGCTGAAAAAAAACCCTCAAAAAATTAGGTATGATTTATTTATATAACATTCTTAAAGTAAAACAAGTCTAGCAAGGATAACAGATCCCTGGTTGCAAGAGCTAAGGATGGAAGGGCTGGAAAGTTTGAGTATAGCTAAGACAGAACAGCATGTGGTGATGAAACAATCCTGTATTCTGATGGTGGTGGAGGCTTCACACATCTATACAAGCCCTCCACCAGATACAACTGCATACAGACTGCACCAGTTGCCTGCTGATGTTACAACATGAGGTAAAATGCTCATCTACCTTTTAATATATGTAATGTGTCAAAACCAGACAAAGCATAAGATCTCACCTTAAAATGTATTGTGTCAACAAAGCATGGTTTTGTCACAAAATTATTTTAAAATTAATTAAATGGAGAATGTATACTCTTTGAATAGAAACAGTTGAAAAGTCCCTTTATATTATAAAAATGATCAACATATGATTAGAATAAATGTTATAGTACAATCTTTAGTGACATATTGATCCACTTAAGATTGTCTCTTCATTTTGTACCACACAAAAATGAAAGTGTGACTTTGAAAATTCCTGTAGGAGTCCTGAGATCAGCTACTACTGTGTAAGAAGTTTGTAAAGCCAAAAGTGCCGGGGAAGCAGGGTCTTAACTATTGCTCCTCTTTAAGAAATAGCACCTGCATTTTGCTCAGCCACAAATGTACTTTCAATTCCTCCTCTCCTTTCTTTGAGGTGGATGGGCACTGCACATAAGGCTTGCTGGTGGCATCAGGATGCTTGCTTAGGCCCTGGGCCAGAGTCCTTCACAGCCAGGTCTTCAGAGTGACCCATGAAATGGGCTCCAACTTTGTGTAAAGTTGGGAGCTCTGTTGTGGATTAGAGGAACAAGGGCCTCACAGTGAGTGCTGTGGTGGGCTCCGGGTGTGCCCAAGGGGAACGTGAGTCCTTGGATTCAGCAGGGTTCGGGCAGCGCTACAGCTGAACCATGTGGGCAGCATGGCAGGCATCGGACTTGTCCTGCCTGTGTGCAGATACACTTAGCTACTTTTGCCCTTAGCACGAGAAGAAGCAGGGAAGAGGGTTTGGCATCCTCTTCTCTTCCTGCCTAGCAAGGTGATTCTTGGAGCTGCTTCCCCTCTTTGTAGCTATTTTCTCTTCTTAAAGTAGGATAGCACTTACCGGTCACCTCAGAGCACTGAGAAGAGCCTTTCACATAATGGACACCACGGTGTCCCCATAAAGAAATGAAAGCAGGTGCCCAGATCCTCTCCCCTGCTGACACATCCCCTGGGAGCCCATTCAGGGCTCTCCTCGAGGATTCAGTGGCTCTCTAGCTCCCTTCCTGCCCTCTACCTTCGCTGCCCTCCACCTCTGAGTGGCAGGGTATGCATCTAAGCAGGGAACCCAGACCCTGCATGCTGAAGAGGGATGGACTGAGTGTGTCCTAATAACAGGACTTAAGGTTGCATAAAGTGGTGGTCTCTTCCTGGGCCTCTCTCTACCCTAGACACAACTTCCTATGCTTTCTCTGAGGCACTCTACTTTTAAAAATGCGGTAAAGCATTGATATTTATCTGCTGATGGCTTTGTTTTAAATTGCAAATTTTTCTAGCCTTTGAATGTCAATATGAATTTTGTTCATCACTAGAATTTCTGATTACCGACAGGTTAATGCTAAAAGCAGAGCAGAATGGGAACAGAAAGGAAACTACTCTCTTTGGAAATCCTGCCTTCAAAGGAACTGTTCCCACGGATTTTGTCAAAATTCCCCCGAATTTCTCAGACTCTCCCACAGCATGTTAGGGAGTGGCACTGGAATTGGCTCCATGGCACCCTTCCTACCCACCCTGGGAAAGGAGAGAAATGCTTCCCTGAGCCTCCATGGAGCCAGACCTGCAGCACTGGGTTATGCCTCTCCACTGAAATGTAAAATTATCAATTTTGAAAGGATATGTTACTTAACGTTTTGAAAAATATGCAGGTAATCCAAGCTGAAGAAAACCTTCCTCCTACTGATGGCTAAAATTAACCACATATGCCAGTGCAATGATCAGTCTGAACATGAACCTTGATCTCTGAGTTCTTGGTTTCTATTTAAATTTACAATTCAATGCCAGCACTGGTGGAAATATGAGATGTGTAGGACGTACCCAGGCTAGTAGAGTCTGTAGGTTTCAAGCTTTGTTAACACCCTTAGAACCCATTCAAATGTATGTTGTAAGTCAGATAATAAAGATGTTTCTTTGCTTATAGGGAGAACACAGTCTTAAAAACACTTCATTTGTTGTTACTATTTTAGGGTAAACAAGTGTTCTGTGGCTCTTCTCAATGTTAATGTTACAAGTGTGGTATGATTTTTACTTTGTCTTTTCCAGCCTACAAAGAAACTTCATTTCACCTTCTCATCAAAACAATCCTGGGAGGCTGGCAAAACTGCAATAAACAGCTTTACTGTTGAGAGGAAGAACCCAGAGCTCTGAGGAAGTGATGTGCCCAAAGTCATAGCCTTCCAAGGTCACACGGATGATGTGTTCAGGGTCAGGTCTTCAGCAGTTTATTGGTTTGGGCTGCTCCTCTATGCTTGGTATCATCATAGGACGGTTTGCTGCCCTGTCATTAAGCAATTACTCAGATTCTGTTTCACTTGAAATTAAGTTGTGTACCCCACACTGCACCTTTATCTGGAAGAGTGTGCATTGAGGTCATCCCAGTTCCTAGGCCATGCCGTCATCCAACACTGTCCTGCTTTCACAGATGGAGATTTGTCCCAAATATGGCTACACCTGCTGAGGACCAGCTTATTATCTTCTTAAATATTATTTATGATAAGGTATAAACACTTTGGTATTTTGGGGGTTTTTATTTTAAGGAGAATAAAAACCATAGCAGAGGAATAACAAAGACAAAAACAAAACAACACAAACACAAAAAAAGACACAGGATTTCAAAACAAAATGATAGAAATTAACAATGGTTGTTATATTATATACTGTTACCTTCAATGAAGTTGCTCAGATTACCAGATGTAACAATGCAAGATTGATCAAATAATTAAAGAGAATAAAAAACAATTAAAAACCATTTGAAACAATAGAGTTTCGCTAAACAAGATGGTAGCAATTTAACAATGGTTGTTATATTGCACATTGTTGTCTTCAAAATAGTTGTTCAGATTACAGATATAAGCATGTAAAATTGCTCAACAAAAGAAAATATTTAAGGATTAACTTTTGCTTTCAATAAACCATTAGATATCAGCAGCAAAATTGTCCCAGGTTTCCTTGTATATACTTATATATTTTTCCCTTCCTTCTTTCTTTCTTTTCTCCTTTCCCTTATCTCAGTTTTTCCTTCCCTTTGAGCAATTTCTTTCCCCTTCACAGTATCTATTGTACCTTTTGGGTTTTATTTACTCTTTCAGGTTCTTACAGTAGGGAGATAATACAATGTTTACACATGTGGGTCTGATTTATTTGACTTATGAGTATGGTTCCTACCTGTGTCCATTTACCTATAAGAACCTCAAGTTTATCTTTTTTTACAGCTGAGTAATACTCCAATGTATAAAGCACATCTGTTTTACCCATTCCTCAGCTGATGGGCATTTGGGTTGTTTCCCAGATTTAGCTATGACAAATTGCACCGCTATAAACATGGGTGCACATATATCACTGTGGTATGATGTTTCAGTTTTTCCTGGAAAAATATCCAGAAGGGGAATAGCTGGGTTAAGTGGGACCTCAAATCCTAGTTTTTTGAGGAATTGCTACACTGGTATTCTCAGTGGTTGCACCAGTCTACACTCCCAGCAGCCATGGAGAAGCGTTCCTTTTCCCCCACAGCCTCTCTAGCATTTGTTATTGGGTGATTTCTTGATGATAGCCATTGTTTCTGGGTTGAGATGGAATCTCAGTGTTGTTTTAATTTGCATTTCTTGAATGACCAATGATATTGAATATTTTTCATATATTTATTTGTCATTTGTATTTCCTCATCTGAGAAATATATATTCATCACAGATACCCATTTTTGGATTGTATCTTTGAATTTTGGGGGCCTAATTTCTTTTAATTCTTTATATGTTCTAGATACAAGTCCTTTGTCTGAGGGACATTTGGCTAAAATTTTCTCCCAGTTCATGTGTTTTCTTTTTACTCTGTTGGTGATTTCTTTTGATGTGCAAAAATTTTTCAATAAGGTAAGATCCCAGTTGTTGATTCTTTGAAGTATTTCTCTTGCAGTTGAGTTTTTGTTCATGAACTCCCTGCCTACCCCTATGTCTTCAAGATTTCTACCTACTTTCTCTTCCAGTAGATTTAGTGTTTCTGTTTTGATATTTAGATCTTTGATCCATTTTGACTTTAGTTTAGTGCATGGTGATAGATATGGGTCTAGTTTTAGTCTTTGGCATGTGGAAAGCCAGTTTTTCCAGCACCATTTGTTAAAGAGGTTATCTTTCTTTCAGTGACCACATTTGGTATTTTTGTCAAAGAAAAGGTGGCTGAGTGTGTTTGTAGCGTGTCTACATCTTCTAATCTGTTCCATGGATCCTTGGGTCTTTTTTTTGCCAGTACCATGCTGATTTTATCACAGTAGCTTTGTAGTATAATCTCAAGTCAGGGATTGTGATGTCTCCTGTATTTCCTTTGCTGCCCAGCATTGCCTTTGCTATTCTAGGCCTCTTCTGATTACAGATGAATTTTAGGAATATTTTTTCTAGATCTGTGAGGTGTACTAATGGTATTTTAATTGGGATTCATTGAATCTGTACAACAATTTTGGGAGCATGACCATTTTCACAATGTTGGTTATTCCTATCCATGAGCAAGGAATATCTTTCCATTTTATGAAATCCTCTCTAATCTCCTTTTTCAGAGTACTGTAATTTTCACTGTATAGATATTTTAGTTCCTTTGTTAGATTGATTCCTAAGTATTTCATTTTTTTAGATGCTATCGTGAAAGGTGTGGTTTCCCTAATTTCTCTCTCAGTGTGCTTGTTGTTTGTGTACAGGAATGCTGTTGATGTTTGAGTGTTGACTTTGTATCCAGCTATACTACTGAATTTGGTTATTAAATCTATAAGATTTTTGGTGGAGTTTCTGGGTTCTTCTATGTATAGAATCATGTCATCTGTGAATAATGATAATTTCATATCTTCCTTTCTTATCCATTTTCTTTTTATTTCTCTCTCTTGTCTAATTGCTCTGGCTAATATTTCTAGAACTATGTTGAATAGGAATGGTGACAGTAGACATCTGTGTCTGGTTCCTGATTTTAAAGTGAAAGCTTTCAGTTTTTGTCCATTTAGTATGATATTGGCTGTTGGTTTGTCATAGATGGTTTTTATCAGGCTGAGGTAAACCCTCTATTCCTATTTTCTGTAGGGTTTTAATCATGGATGAATGGTAGACTTTATCAAAAGCTTTTTCTCATCTATTGAAATGATCATATGATTTTTGTCTTTGGCTCTATTGATATGGTATATTACATTCATTGATTTGCATATATTGAACCATCCCTGCATTCCTGGAATGAATCCCACTTGGTCATGATGTATAATCTTCTTGATGATTTGCTGCATTGTATTTGTAGTATTTTTTGAGAATTTTTGCATCTGTGTTCATTAGGACACTTGGCCTGTAGTTTTCTTTTCTGATTGGGTTTTTCTCTGGTTTTGGTATCAGGTTAGTACTTGCCTCCAGAAATGAGTTAAGGAGAATTCCTTCCCTTTTAATTTCCTTGAAGAGTTTGAGAAGAATTTGCACTAAATCTTCTCTAAATTTCTTGTAGAATTCAGCTGTGAATCCATCAGGATGGGGCTTTTCTTTGTTGGTAAGTTTTTTATTACATTTTCAATTTCATTGGCTGATGTTGAGTTATTCCAGATTTTATATCTTCTTGATTGAGCTTTGGTAATTCATGTGTATCTAGGAATCTGTTCATTTCCTCTGTGTTTTCTATACTATGAGAGCAAGATTTTCAAAGTAGGTATTGATGACCTTCTGAATTTCTACAGGATCTGTAGTGATTTTATTCTTTTCCTTCCTTATTGTATGAATTTGAGCTTTTTTCTTTCCTTTTGTAATAAGATTTGCTAAGGGCTTATCAATTTTATTTATTCTTTCAAAGAACCAACTCTTTTATGAATTCTTTGTATTGTTTTCTTCATCTTCATTATGTTAATTTTTGCTTTGATCTTTATAATTTCCTGCCTTCTTTGGGCTTGACTTGCTGTTCTTTTTCTAGGAGCTTGAGGTTCAGCATAAGGTTTTTTCTGAGCTTTTTTTTTCTGATGTGGGAACTCACCACTATAAATTGCCTCTGAGGATGGCTTTCATTGTGTCCCACAGGTTCTGGTAAGTTGTATCTGCATTTTCATTTGATTGTAAATATTGTTTAATTTCTTCTTTAATTTTATCTGTGACCCATTGGTTGTTCAGGAGGCTGTTATTTAATTTCC